GGAGAAGGAGTAACAGAGAAGAGGAGGTAGGCTGGAAGGAGGTTTCTGGATATAGAGCAATATGCTTAAAACCTAAGCCCAGCAGTCATGCCACACCCAGGAACTGCGGAGTGTTGGGTTTGGTTGCAGCTCAAGATAAGGCAGCAGCGTGGAGACAGGAGGCTGTTGTGGGGAGACAGAGCCTAGATTATAACGAGCCATAAATGCCAAATTGTTGTTGTTGTGTGCTGTCAAGTTGGTTCTGACTCATTGCACCCCTGTAGGACAGAGTAGAACTGCCCAATAGAGTTTCCTAGGCGGTAATCTTTATAGGAGTAGAATGCCAGGTCTTTTCTCTTGCAGAGTGGCTGGTGGGTTCAAATCACTGACCTTTCAGTTAGCAGCTGAGTGCTTAACCAATGCACCAAACCAAGAAAATCCAAACCAGTTGCCGTCGAGTCGATTCCGACTCATAGCAACCCTAAAGGACAGAGTAGAACTGCCCCATGGGGTTTCCAAGGAGCAGTTGGTGGATTCAAGCTGCTGACCTTTTTGGTTGGCAGCCATAGCTTGCCATAGCTCTTAACCACTGCACCACCAAATGCTTTATTAAGAAGTTTGTTTTCTAAGCATGATGGAGAGGCATTGAAGAGTTTTTAGAAAGGGAGTGATATAAAACCAGTTGCCATGTTGATTCTAACCCAAGGAGACCGTATGTGTGTCAAAGTAGAACTGTGCTTCATAGGGTTTTCAGTGGCTGATTTTTCAGAAGTAGATCTCCAAGCCTTTCTTCCCAGGCATCTCTGGGTGGATGTGAACCACTAACCTTTTGGTTAGCAGCCGAGCATATTAACTGTTTGCATCACCCAGGGGCAAAATGATATGGGTTTTACTTATAAAGAAAACTTTGGAAAACCAATTGAGGGGAGCAGTGATAGATTAAATTAGACCAGAGACAAGGAGACCAATTAGGAGGCAGGTGAAAAAATCCAGATTTAGTAGTGGGAAGGAGGTGAGGGACAAAGGGGAACAGATTCCAGAATGGGACCCAAAGCTTCCACTTGAATCCTGTGTAAAAGTGTTTAGCCATCCACGTTTGCTGGATATCCTGCACTAGCACTCGGAGACTTTCACTACTCAAAGTGTGGTCTGTGGACCAGCAGCATGGGAACCACCAAGGGTCTTGTTAGAAATGCAGAATATCAGCCCCAGCCCAGACTTAGTAAATCCGAATCTACATTTTAACAAGATCTCTGGGTAATTTAGATGTATGTGAAAATTTGAGAAGCAGAGCCGCAGAGGATCATGGGAAGGAAGAGCACAAACACTATAAGGGCAGTTGCCTAAGGTGTGAACAAGTGTGGTGCACAGATGTATCTTGTTGGGATGATTATATTGTTCAAGGCAAGGAGCAGCTTCAGCTCAGAGACTTGAAGAGATAATGTGGGGCAGCTGAGGAAGTGTATGAGTTTCTCTTCAGCCTTACCCGACCCACTTTCTGAAAGCCAGTGATGGTTGTTAGATCTGCTGGCTAGCATGTTACCAAGGAAGCCAGGGAGACCAAGCCAACATGCCAAGCTAATGTCAATCCCTGCATATCCCCCGTGCTATCTCACTGTCAACCGAATGTGCATTTCTGTCTAAGAAGATTGTCTAACAGTCTATACAGCTGTGAGCCTGATCACTGGGGTCAACCTGGCCACCTGTACAGACCAGGCGCACCGGGGAGAGACAGGAATAGAGAGCAGAAGATAGATTCTGGGCAGTTACAAAGGCAGAGTCAGCCAATCTTGGTCAGAGGTAGGATGCAGGAATCAGGTAGGGCTAAATAAGGTCAACTCTTGAACTCTGCTGTGGTCACTGCTAATCTCTTTGGTGGCTAGGGGGTGGGCCTTGGGAACTGTCTCCACAGAGACCTGCAGGAGTTGTCTCCATACCCAGGAAACCTGTTGTCAGCTCTTCTGAACTCAACAGCGCTGTGCACGTGTCACCAGAGAACTGTGATGTTCCGTAATTAGTGTTGGCAGCAGTTACATTTGTTTATGGTGTTACATAATCAAATTTGTATAATTGCTCTTTTATAGCTCACTTGAAAATTTCAAAACAGCACAGTGTAGGCAGGGAGAGTGTGGGCAGTGCCCCCTGGCATGTCAGCATTCCTGCCTCTCCTACCACAGAAGGTTGTACTAATAGAGAACAGAATCTGGAAACATGAAGTAGAAGAGCTGTGTTTCTGGGTCTGCCAAAATCAGGGACAGCTGTGTTGTCTGGGGCAGACCTTAGTTCATTTCTTTTCATTGCAAAGAGAAATTTCAAGATCCCAAGACACACGGACCGCTCAAGGGGTTTTGGTCTGTGTTTTTTCCCTCTCAGGTAGGGCAACATCCAGATGTGGCTGTTGCCATTTCCTCTCTCTGACAGACATGGGATTCTTTGATTGACACTTCTCAAATCTGGAGCTCCCATGGATTGCTTGGTGATAGGGGTGGACCTTCAGGGCTCTGTTCAAAGCCACAGGCAACTGGGTAACTTCAGGGAGGGAGGCATGGTCTGGCTTTTTGGAACTTTACTCAGTGCAGAAATCATGGGTCTTTGATGGTACCCACCCCTTACCTAATGTGGGCACATTTTTCCTCATTCTTTTATGGAAATATTAAAACAAGCAGCAAAGGACACTTGACAAGATATTTGCAGATTTCGCATGTCCTCCCTTCTCATTGCAAATCCATGACAAATCTCCTGAGAAGGTGCATGCAGATCCTTGTAAACCTTATCTACAAGCCATAGGGAATCCTCAGATTACTGATCCTCTTGACTTCCTGTGAGAAGGAAAAATCATCCCATTTGGGGTCATGAGGTCTTGGGTTCCATTAGGGTACTCTTATGAGAATTTGCCATACAAATGTACAAGGGGGTCCTTAATCCACAATCATCATGACTTCAGGAATTCTGGAGACTAGCTGAAAATGTGTGCAGAAGTTTTGTATATGTGCATTTTTATGTTATTTTAAGTAGGACCGTACCATTCATAAATTTTCAAAGGTTGTGATTAAAAATAGCTTAGGAACTTGGACATGTTCAATGGCTTTAAGTTTATGAAGAGTCTTCAGCTGTGTCTCATATCATTGTTTTCATGTGGGTGGGGCAGAGACCATTATCTCCAGTTAAAGTGAGAAAACAGGTGTAGAAACATTGAGTGCTTGTTGGTCACGTGCCTATTGATCCTCAGAAACTGGATCTAACTCCTATTCTTTTAACTCCAGCACAAGCTTTAAGAACAGAAATTATTCCATCTACATAACCCAGGATATCCGGACATTTTGAGACATTAAGATCCCCAAATCCTGAATCTGGGAAAATAGATTTCTGTGTGTACGGTTTTACTTATTCAGGTCTCTGCCCGCCCAAATAATCTCTTTCCCCACATTTTGTTGGAGTGGTGTGAGTGGACAAATCTATTTCTAGGTCAAAGTTAGTCCTGGGGGAGGCAGCTGTAGACGAGAAGGGCTTTTCCTCAAAAATATCCACAGCAGTCCCCTACCCATTTTTTACCCAGTTCTGGTGAGCTGGGACCTCTTTGTTCAAAATGGTTCAAAATGCAAATCCCTGTACCCTTTGATGAGGGAGACCTTAAAGCACATTTTCAGCCATACAGCTCCAAAAAAGCAACCTTAGAGAATGTTTTGTTTTTTAAATTCATCATTAAACTACTCCTCAGAGGAAAATGTGTATTAAATGGCTGCAGAGTGTTTCAGCATTGGGATAGAAGTCTGATACTTCACCCCTCTGATCTGTAGTTTCTATAAAATGGGTATCATCACATCAACCTCACTGGATTTTTTGTGTGGATAAAACGAGATAAAACAAGAAAATTCCAGCACTATTTCTGGCCCAGAATAGGAGCTCAAACATGCTAATTTACCTTGGTATCCTTCAGTATTAGTTTCAGGTTGTGATTTGCATTCTCTGCTACCCCCCTTTCTAACCTAGAAGAACATATACTCAGCCTGACATTCTAGAAAAGAGGTGTTTCTCAAGACTTTACAATACCTCCCTTTTGAGTTTGTCTGGCTCCAGGTTAAAAATCTCTGGTGATTTGAGACTTCTGTTTGATTGAGTAGTATCTCCAGTCCAACAGAAAGACAGCTAAATAAATATCATTAGCTAAAATATAATCAGAGGTGTTTTACAAGTTGGTAATGCATTAATTTTTGTTTGATTTTGCTGAATTTGGTTTCTGATACAAGAGGTGGATGTCTTTCTAAATCAGTACATGCTGGGCATGTGCTTGCTTAATGAATAACTCCATACTACATGAGGGAAGTTAGACATTAGCGCCCAAGTCTAGTCTGGGAGATGAGCTTAACACACAGGAAACATTTTGAGATCAATGTATGTGCTACAGAAAGGCACATCATGGGCACTTAATAAATATTTTTTAAATAAATGAATTTATTCTTGAAACTGAATTCAGTGTTCATTGCAACATTTGAAGAAGGGTAGAGAAAATCAATTTCAAACTTCTAAAGCAAATATGCTTCATACTGATGACTATAGTAATTAAGAGTATGCTCCATAAATAGCCCTCAGTGCAGCTGCCAAGTAGAAAAGTCTCTAGGGATCACTTAGGAAATTAAAATGATTTAATAAGGAAAGATGTTTAGGTGTATCTTAAGTTGGGTTCTCTAGAGAAGCAAAACCAGTAACATGTATACACACACACACACACACCCATAGAGAGAGAGAGAGATTTATCTCAATGAAATGGCTCACATGGTTGTAGAGGCTGGCAAGTCTCAGGTCCGTGGGTCAGGCATCAGGCTGGAGGCTTCTCCTGACTTACGTAGCTGCAGGGGCTGACGAATGCAAGATCAGCAGGTCAGATGGCAGGCTGCTAGCTCACGGGCTGTGGAGGCTGACGAATTCAAGAGTCATAAAGTCAGACATGCACAGCAGCACTGCATCATTAAATGGAAGTTGTATATATGAGATCAGACTTGAGCAGGACCCGAAGGCACAAGTAAGTTGCATGAGCAAGTGCCCCAAATGCCTGTGGTCTCCATTCCTGTTACATTACCTGTCTTCTCACAGTCTGCACCTCTGTCCTCAAGGGGAGTTCCTTATGATCAGTTGACTGAGGAAGAGAAGACTCATGCCTGGTTTACAGATGATTCTATGTGATATGCATGCACCACTCAAAAGTGGACAGTGGCGGTATTGTAGCCCCTTTCTGAGACCTCCCTGAAGGACAATGGTGAGGGAAAATCCTCCCAATGGGCAGAACTTCAAGCAGTGCACCTGGTTGTTCACTTTGCTTGGAAGGAGAAAAGGCCAAATACGTGATTGTACACTGATTCATGGGCTGTGGCCAATGGTTTGGCTGGATGGTCAGAGACTTGGAAGGAACATGATTGGACAATTGGTGGCAAGGGGGTATGAGGAAGAAGTATGTGGATAGACTTATCTAAATGGGCCAAAGAAGTAAAGATATTTGTGTCTCATGTGAATGCTCACCAAAGGGTGACCTCAGCAGAGGAAGATTTTAACAATCTAATGGATAGGATAACACACTCTATGGAAATCAGTCATCCTCTTTCCCCAGCCACTCCTGTCATTGTCCAATGGACTCATGAACAAAGTGGCGATGGTGGCACGGATGGGGTTAATCCTGTCAGGGATCCAGTGAGGGGGTTCTGTGAGTTTCTGAGTGTATCTATTCCTATTATACATTCTGGAACTGGGGAAATCACTAAAGGATGGGTTCAGGGACCCCCTGAACCCACTGTGAGACAAAACTGAACTAAGACTCCATTAATAACCTGACCTCCATAAGTCCCCACTCTGACTAGTGGGCCACAGTGATGTGACAACATTTTGGGTCTCCTGGAATTAGTGTCAGTTCAGAGCCAGTATCCAGTAATCCCTGCAAAGTCTGATAATTTCCTTTTCCCCAGTGAACCGTCACTCTCGTAAAAGGCTGTAGATCCCTTTTGGGAAGTCTGGGAGAAAAATTAACCTCATAAATTTTTTGGCAGTATATTGAGGCCCTTCCTCAAGGAAACCAAGCCTCCCCTTCATTCAAGGGGTTGTGGGTCTGTAAACTGGCTCGAGTCTGGGAATTGATTCAGGGGCCTTGACTCTCTATTCTGGTGATTCAAGTTAGACTGCTATTCATTTGACCTAGAACTATTCTGCTTTTATAGATCTGGTAAATATTTAGTAGATTTTCCATCTATTTCACTTCTAGGGGCACCATGACTAAGGAGGCAATGCCATAAGTCCATATAAGTTGTAGCCAATGCCATAAGTCCATACAAGTCAGACTATTCTGATCACTGCTTTGACTTTGCCATCCATTATGGTAACCATACCCACTTTGTCTTTGTTGATTGAGTGCCATCCCTTGGCCCCTGCCACCATGGGGCCCAATCAGCCTCATTGTAGTTAAGTGTCTTAATTCAGTTAGGGCAGTTCCCACTGTCAAATCTGACTTACGTAACGGCAGTCACAGCAGTTTTCAAGGATACTGGGGCTCCCTTCACAAATTTGTTCCTCACCATTTTGGTAAAATGTGTGTCCTCTGGGCACTCTGTGTGGGTCTGTGAGTCTAGCCTGATATATCCACTCTAACATGTCAATTTCCCTAAGCCTTTGAATACCTTCTTCTACAGTATACCAAGGCAGGTCTGGTACTTCAACTTGATTTAGTGTAGGATACCGCAAAATCCATGCTTCAGCAAACCAACCAAATAAACTATCCTTTCCTAATCTCTCAAGCTGAAACTTTCAGTGAAGAATCTGTGCTTAGTGACCACATATCGATAAACTCAGACTGATCCTTCTTTACGTTCCTTGCACCATTATCTCACACCCTTAATAGCCATTCCCATACATATTCCCCAAGTTTCTGTTTCTACATATTAGAAAAATCAAGCAGTTCTTTTGGAGCGTAGCCTACCTCCTCCTGGGTCACACTTTGTACTTCACCTTTTGGGGCTCACTGAGACTTAAGTCTAGTTAGGGCTACGGGCAAAAATGGGTGTTGGGGATGGGTCCTGAGAACATTCATCAATGTCCTGTTAGGCATCTGCCTCAGGCGATGCTCCAGGGAATGCTCCAGGTGCCCCACCCCCTACCCCCCAAGCAACATCTCAGACAAAGTCTCTTCAGGCACAGCTGGGTTCTTTTGGCAGGAGTGATTCAATGGAATTTAGGGGCTTAATGTTTCCAGCTTCCTGATTGTCTGCTCAGAAGTCCCCATCCCAAGTTTTACGATCCCATTTCTTCCCAATCAGTGCTCTGACATTAACTTCAGACACCATTTGAGGTTGGGAATTCAATTGGCATTGTAATTCGGCTACTCTTACAGTAAGACTCTGGGTTTGTTTTTCAGCAATATCAGCTCTGTTACTACAAGAAATAAGGCTTTCGGGGCACAGGCAGCAACTTTCACGTCTTTCATGTGGCACTTGAGCTATGACTCTGAAGCCCTGAGCTCATCTCTTTCTTTCACCACTTTGTCTATCAAAAGTAGGAATAACCAGCCAGCTTCCCTATACTTCTCACTCTAACAAAATTGTAGAAAAATACCAAACATGTGATCACCCAGAGCCTCACTTCTCACCGATACTTACTTGATCTATTGGTGGTAATATTTTGTGTATTAGTATTTCCAGCTCATGCTATGGGTTAGCAGTGCACTTTACTCCTGGAGGCAGTCAATCAGCACCTCTAAGACTAGTCAGACTTGAGAACCAATTTAGAAAACTCATCCTTACAATTTTGTTTCTCTAGCACCACTCTCAGTACCAAATGTCTGAGGCTGGGTTCTCTAGAGAAGCAAAACTAGTGAAACGTGTATGTGTATATATATATATGTATATATATATACACACACACACGTATATATACATACACATACATGTACATATATACACATATATATATGTAGAGAGAGAGAGATTTATCTCAAGGAAATGGCTTATGTGGTTGTAGAGGCAGGCAGCTATCAGATCACATCATGGAAGATGACTATATCATTACATAACTGCCAAACTACATCATTGCATTACTGCCAGATTACATCATTACATAACTGCAAAACCACTGAGAATCATGGCCCGGCCAAGTTAACATACAAGCTTAACCATCTCAAGGTGTAAAGTGGGAAACCATGACTCAGTGGACAAGACATCATCAACTGTGACACAGCCAGCCTTGTGTAATGAGGAAGTCTTGTATTTGGAGTTCAAGCATTACTTGGTGAAATGATGGAAAGGATTTACTAGAGATCTTATGTATCATGGTAGTATCTTCTTGTATCTTAAATTCATTGTTGCTCAGTTGTTTATAGAGAAGGAAAACAAAATCATCTTTAGTTTCATTGTCAAGCAAGCACTATTAATTAGTATCCTGGCCTATTTCTTTCCAGGGTTCGCTTCTCTCTCTCTCTCTCTCTCTCTGTGTGTGTGTGTGTGTGAGTGTGTGTGTGAGTGAGTGAGTGAGTACATCTGTTATGAGTTCACATTCTTTGTACAAAAAATTACTTTTCCATATAATATATCAAAAAGTTCCCATGTCATTAAAAATGTCTTGAAAATATACTTTTAAATGGCTGCAAACTGTTCTGACATATTAGACGTGTCATAATTTAATTAAAAGTTCTCCTGCTGCTGGGCATATAGGCTGTTTCCAAACTTTTGCTGCTATGAATATAAGTAATAAAATTAGTATTGCAATGATCACTTTTGTGCCTAAATATCAGTCTCCATTTCAGATTATTAAGATGAAGTCTCAGTGGAAATTCGCTGTGTCAAAGGATTTAAACATTTTTCAGGCTCTTCACGTATATTCTTTTCAAGTTTGTTACTCCACTTTCCCACTAACAGTGTTCAGGTGCCCTCATTTCACAAAACCCTGCCAGTATTGAACATTTTATACTTTTTTCCTATTTTGATAGCAAAATTATCTCATCTTTGTTTTAATTTGTTATTCTTTAATTATCGATTGAGGACTTTCCCCAGTGTTTAATAGCAATTTTTATTTCCTCTTTTACAAATTCTCTATTCATAGCTTATTCAGTCGCCTTTTATTGAGCTAAGCTCCCTTTTGTAAAGTTATTTAAACAGACCTTGAGATTAAGAAAAGAAGGCCCTTTGTGAAAACTTCTACCTACCAATTTGCTAATTCTAGATGGGCATTGACTCTTCATAGGCATATGTATCTGAAATTACTTTAATACTTTGTGCTTAGGTCATATATTTATACATAGGCTTTTTATTTGACATTTAATCCATGGACCTGCTTTGGGAAGGCATTATTTCCTACAGGTGGCCATGAGATAATGGATGAGGTCATTTCCAATTCATTTGTCTTTTCCTTTTTCTTCTTCTGGCTCTTTAGTCAAATCCTTGGAAAAGCTGTAAATGCACCACAATGGGAATGAGAAGTCACATTTGTGGTGGGAGGTTTGTCATTTCCCATTTGCCGCTGTGATATGTATTCTGTTCAAAGTTGAAATGAGAATGAATTTTCTACTTGCAGTTAAATTCCATTACTTCCTCTGTATTCATCTTTTTCCTCCCCTTCCTTTAATATCTTTTGTGGAAACTTCCATCTTAATAACTTTGAACTGTTTTCTATGGAGTGCAAGACCTCTTTGGGTTTTAACAATATGTTGGAACTTTCCATCATCCTGACATTTGCCATATGATTGTTAGAAACTGTAAAACTCTCTGATGGCAGAAAGTACTTAAGACGAGTGTTCTGTGGAATTATCTTTATTTTCAAAACCTGTTCATAATATCTACTTTCTCACTGAGGAAAATCATGATATGTATATAACATCCTGATTCTTTATGTGGAGGGGACATTAAGCACCAAATGGACGCATCCTGGTAGTAAATGATCACCTTCAGATTTGGTGCCTATACCATGTTGTTAACTCACTCATTTGGGTCAGTCCCTTTTATAATTTCATTTTAGCCTTCATGCATTTTTTACAGCTTAACTACCAAAATGTTTGTATAGCTTGTTCT